TCAGTTTGTTTATATGGTGGATCACGTTGATAGATTTTCGTATGTTAAACCATCCCTGCAATCCAGGTATGAAGCCTACTTGATCATGGTGGATGATTTCTCTGATGTATTTTTGAATTCGGTTTGCCATTATTTTATTGAGTATTTTTGCATCGATGTTCATCAGGGATATTGGTCTGTAGTTTTCTTTCTTAGTTGTGTCTTTGTGAGGTTTGGGTACCAAAGTTATTGTGGCCTCATAAAAAGAGATTGGCAATAAACCTTCTGTTTCTATCTTGTGGAACAGTTTGAGGAGTAGTGGTATTAGTTCTTCCTTGAATGTCTGGTAGAATTCTGCACTGAATCCATCTGGCCCTGGACTTTTTTTTCGTTGGAAGGCTTTCGATGACTGCTTCTATTTCATTTCGGGTTATAGGTCTATTTAAGTTGTTTGTCTGTTCTTGATTTAATTTTGGTAAGTGATAGTTATCCAGAAACTTGTCCATTTCCTTTGAATTTTCAATTTTTGTGGAATACAGATTTTCGAAGTATGACCTGAAAATTGTCTGGATTTCCTCTGTGTCTGTTGTTATGTTCCCCATTTCGTTTCTGATTTTGTTAATTTGCATGTTCTGTCTCTGCTTTTTCGTTAATTTGGATAAAGGTTTATCAATCTTGTTGATTTTCTCAAAAAACCAACTCTTTGTTGCATTGATTTTTTGTATTGTTTTCCTGGTTTCTATTTTGTTGATTTCAGCCCTCAAGTTGATTATTTCCTGGCGTCTGCTCCTGCGGGGTGAATTCGCTTCTCTCTGTTCTAAGGTTTTCAGTTGCGCTGTTAATTCATTTATGTGACTATCCTCTGTTTTCTTCATATGGGCACTTAGTGCAATGAACTTCCCTCGTAGCACTGCTTTCAAGGTGTCCCATAAGTTCGGGTATGTTGTATCCTCATTCTCGTTGAATATTAGAAAGTCTTTAATTTCTTTCTTTATTTCTTCTTTGACCCAGGAGTGGTACAATTGCACATTGTTAAGTTTCCATGAGTTTGCAGGTTTTCTGCTATTTGTATTGTTGTTGAATTCCAATTTTAAAGCATGGTGGTCCGATAAGATACAGGGGACTATTTCTATTCTCTTGTATCTGTTGAGGTTTGTTATGTCTCCTAGTATGTGGTCGATTTTAGAGAAGGTTCCATGTGGAGCAGAGAAGAAGGTATATTCTTTTGTCTTTGGATGGAATGTTCTATAGATGTCTGTTAGCCCCAGTTGAGACATAACTTCTGTTAATTCTTTTGTTTCTTTGTTGAGTTTCTGATTTGTGGTCCTGTCTAGTGTTGAGAGTGGTGTATTGAAGTCTCCCACTATAAGTGTGTGAGGTTTTATATGAGCTTTGAGTTTTAGTAGTGTTTCTTTTACGAATGTGGGTGGCTTTGTATTAGGGGCATAGATGTTCAGAATTGAGACTTTGTGTTGATGGATTTCTCCTGAGATGAATATGAAATGACCGTCTTCATCTCTTTTGACTAGTTTTGGTTTGAAGTCTAGCTTGTTAGATATTAGGATAGCTACGCCTGCTTGCTTATTTCCATTTGATTGGAAAATCTTTTCCCAACCCTTTACCCTGAGGTAATGTCTATCTTTGGAGCTAAGATGTGTTTCTTGTATGCAGCAGAAGGATGGATTCTGTCTTCGTATCCATTCTGTTAATCTGTGTCTTTTTATAGGTGAGTTAAGACCATTAATGTTGAGGGTGAGTAAGGACCATTGATTGTTGATGGTTGTTTGATTTAGGTTTGTTGTTGGCAGTGGTATTGTGAATATATTTGTTCTGCTTCACCCTAGGTTTCTGGTGTAGTTGGATTATCTGTTGCCTACATTTTTGTGAGTTTTCCTGCCAGCCTAGTCTCGTAGCCTCTTCAGCCCCAAATAACACACAGAGACGCTGTATTAGATATAAAGCTATTGGCCAGTTACTAGTGTTTTTTATTGGCTAGCTCTGTCTTAAATATTAACACATTTTATTAATCTAAGTGTTTGTATGTGGTCTCGGATTTACGGGAGAAAGGGTCCAGACATCTTACTCCTCTTGGTCCTACATTTCGACTCTCCTCTACTGTATCTCCCAGAATCCTCCTTGTCTCCTAGTTCTACCTGTTTTGCCTTTCTATTTGTCAACAGTGTTTTATTATTAACCAAAATTTTTATCTTTTTTTTTTTTTTTTTTTTTTGGCCACAAGTCTTTTATCTGTTAAACAACATTGCTTTCCAAGATGGCAGGGGTACATTCACCATCAGCACTGAGAGCTGTGCTCATCACCTTGGTCTATGTTACCATTTAGCAGCATGCTGCTGGCTTAGAGATGTGGTTACTGCCATTGTCAGCTCTCACACACATCATTTAATTGTGAGCAGGGCTTCTTAAAAGCTGTGCAGGTTTTTTTTTTGTTGTTGTTGTTGTTGTTTGTGTTTTGTTTTTTGTTTTGTCTGTCGCTTATGTTGAGTCAGGAAACCTCCCTTAATGGAGTCATGCAAGTCTTTGTTTCTAGCAAAACAGAGCCCACCAGTGAAAAATGCGGTTACCAAGAAGCCTTGTTTGTTTTTTAGGTTTTTTGTTTTGTTTTGTTTTGTTTTTAAATTCATTTTTTAAGCTTTTGTCAAGTTTGAAGTAGAAGTCCTTGTGTCCCACGTTGGATGCCATTTTGTTATGAGTAGTTTTCCCACTATCCTGTCTGAACTGATAATATCCACATACCTCCACACACATCTCTCGTAAGGACTCTAGAGGGACAGTGGGTATCTTAATGATCCACTGGAATGTTGCCTTTGAGTAGATAATAGAGGCCTGTAACCAGGGCATCCCACAAGGGGGGTTGACGTGCCACCAGGCCTGGATCTCTCTGTAATCTTAACTCACTCCCTTTTCTGCTTTTGGATACAGATCATAGACTCCCATCATCCCAGTAGCTTCCTCCACTTCCCAGGGGGCATTATAATGTACAAAGAGGTGGCACACAAGAAGGAACCCTTGTCTCTGGCTGGTGGTACAGAAGAGGGAACAGGACTCATGAGATATTGCATCTGACCCTTTAAATATCAAGCAGAGAATGGAAGAAGAGGGAAAGTTTCCAGATGTTCACATCAGTGACAGTCAGCAGCTGCCACCCAGGATCTAAATTGAAGTCACAGAGGGCTTTGAGCACACTCACATCCTCACTTCCTGACAACCCTCTGACACAGCACCATCATCCCCAATTCACAGATGGAAGTTAAGAGTCTAAGATGGTTTAACCGAGTAGGGTCCCAGAGCTCAGGTGATGTGGTAATTAATGTATTGTGAACTTCACAGGAGCCACCTAAGAGACCAACCTCTGGACTCACTAGTGAGGGATTACCCCATTTATATTAATTAAGATAGGAAGACCCACCCTACAGTGAGCAGTCTTGAGTCCTGAACTAAAGATGGAGAGAGGTAGAGAGGGGCGGAGGGGGGGAAGCGGAGAAGGGGAAAGAGGGAGAGAGGGGAGAGAGGTAGAGAAGGGGGAGAGGGAGAGAAGGAAGGGGGAGAACTCTGGACAGTCAGCCAGGCCAGGAGTTCAGGTGTATTGTACTAGAAGCAGTGTCTCTGCTGTCCCCCAAATATCTGTATCATCCCCCTGGACCTTCCACAAGCAGAGGATAGACTGGGAACCGGGCCCAGAGGGGTCAAGTCTCAGCAAAGCTGAGAACATGGCCTACCCTTTCTTTTATCAGGTCAAAGCAAAGCTTGTTCTCTCAGGTTCCAAGGTGGATGGAGCCCTGAAGTGGAAGGAATCTGGGTCAGTCCTCTTGCTCCATCTTAGATGGACTCCTTTGAGCATGCCAAGAAATTGCCATTGTAGATTAGTTTAAGGGAAGATGTCAGTGTGTTACAAGACAGTTAAATCAGTGTCGAGCAACATTAAGTTTCAGAAAACTTCCCAAGAAACTAAAGTTGTGCAGGTATTAAGTCCCCTCCCCAGTCCAAGAGACAAATCAGGGTAGTTGGATTGTGCTCAATGTAACAGCCCCCGATTTCCTCAATGGCAGGCATAAAACTCGTTTTTTCCTGGGGACTGCCTATCTCTCAAGAAAAACATTCCATTTGGTCAAAGAATGAAGAGAAGAAAAGTTGAAAATCTGTCAGACAGATGAACTGGATGACAGGCAAAACATCTCCCACCATACCCAGAGTCAGGAGCCTTATCAGACACAAGCCCTACCTGCATCCATCTCTGCTATCATATGGAAGGGCCTTCCAGTATAATAGAAGTGTCAGTATAATAGAAGTCCCTAGAAAAAAAGATGGCCACTGGCTGGCCATAGAAAACTTAGACAACAAACAGAAAGGGAAGGCATGACTACAGCCATCCTTTGCCCTCTGAATGGAGAGCTACTGTCAATCTCCTTGGCTAAAACCCTTCTGTTGGCTGCTTGCTGCCCTTAAGGGAACACTTTAATACCTGTCCACCTGTGTCCATATGCCTAATCACAGTACTCGTTGTCTCCGTTCTGGCACATGGGCCTTCCTTCCCAACCACACTAAACCCACATTTTGGCTTCCACACATGTTTCTCACCCCTCTAGGAGGACCACAGACACCATCATATTTCCTGGCTAGTTCAGGATCACCTGAGAAGGGTATGCATCCCTTCTATGCTCTTGGAAGTAATATAAACACTCGTTTCTCTCAAGGCTGCCTACACTTGTCATTATGTTTCATTTCATAAAAGCACGCTCATTTACCAGTGTGAGTGCAGTGACTGCTTGTATATAATAAACGCTGAAATTAAAGAAGATGGTAGTGATGAAGGGACTCAGGAACCCCCAGTTCTCCAGCTTCTGGGGCATGATCAGCTTATGTCTGTGAGCATTCTCCTAAGACAACAGTGTCAGTGCATCATGAAGAGTGGAGAGCATACAGTACTTGGCACAGGACTCAGTAAATTCCACTGATTGGGGCTCTCAAGGGTGTCCACATCTTACCAAAGGGTTATCTTTTTTTGTGGTATTTTTTTCTCTGATAGGCCTCATAGCTCTCGAAGTTGTCATGGCAAAATTCATTGATGGCAGTACCATGTTTGGACAGGACATGGCCGGCAAAGGCAGCTTCAAAACTACCCAGCCAGGGACCGGGTTGGTCTGGCTGCCAAGATGACAAGGTCTGTTGCCCAGCTTTGGTGTCACATGTAGAGTGCCAGTGAGGGAGAGGTCCTTTGAACTGTAGTTTCTTTACAGCCTCAGACCATAAGAGGTTGACCATCCAGGACAGTATGTGGCCCATTCTCTTTTCCAAGTTCTGGGAGGCTTGTGTGCATTGCTGGTCTTCTGGTGAGAGGCCCTGAACCTCCTGACTAGTCAGTTGCAAGAAATGGTCCATCAGGACCTGCTTCAACTTCACCATCTTCCCATGAGTGTTATGAAGACCTTCCTTCTGGAGGACCTCTTTGCTAGCTGACCCTGGGGTTTGGGGTAGATGCCTTGCCAGTGACTCTGACTCTGCATACTTGTATGGGCCTCAGCAGCTTCGTGGGAACCGAGAGAGAGAGAGAGAGAGAGAGAGAGAGAGAGAGAGAGAGAGAGAGAGAGAGACTGATCACAGAAAATAAGACAGCCTTCCCTGGGGTCCTGGCATGGTTGGGGGCAGAACTGATTCTCAGGCTCATCACTGGCTCCTCCTACCTCTATGTTCTGGGATTAGACTCTAAATGGCATGGGTAAGTATCCCAGGCCCAGCTGTTGGAGCATTCTACTCAGATGCTATTAGAATGTGTCCTGAGAAAGCATAGTAGGGCCCTCTAGGAGAAGAGGGGGGAGCTGGCCATTTTTAGATTCTTGGCTCCAACCACAGCCTGTCTCATGTGATTTTAATTGAGAAGGGAGGTTTTTTTTTTTTTTTTTTTTTTTTTTTCTGTCCGATTCCAGCACCAAGTAAATCATCCTAGTGAAACAGATCAGCACATGATTTTCTGGGGCTCAAATCTGACCTCTCACCTGTTTTTATAGGTAACAGGTAATTGGAGAATGGGAAGACGGGTCAGTTGGTGAAGTGCCTGCTGCACAAATACGAAGACCTGAGTTCAATCCCCTGAACATGTTAAAAAGCTGGGTATGGCAGCATGTACCTGTCATCCCAGCACTGGGGAGAGAACCCTACAGCTTGCTGGCCATCAAGACTAGCTACACCTAGATCCCAGCCTTCACATGCACATACACGTGTGCAAGCACATGAACAGATCTGCTCACATTCAAAGATAAATTTTTAAAAGTGAAGAAGTACTTTATTGGAACACAGCCAGGCCAGGTTGATTTTGTTTAGTCATGGATTCATTGTGATTGCTTTTGTTGAAAATGTCAGAGTTCAATAGTTGTGATGGAGGTCATAATGTCTTTGGAGTTTCAACTAGTTACTTAAATGATCTTTGAAATATCGTATGTCTTCATATGTAAACAGGTGTTTTGCCTGCATGTATGTTGTATCACATGTATGCAGTGCCCATAGAGGCCAAAAGAGGGCATTAGACATCCTGGAACTGGAACTACAGACTGCGGTGAGCAGACTTGCAAGTGCTGAGAATCAAAACCTGGCCCTCTGGAAGAGAAGCAAGTGCTCTCAAACTACTGAGCCTTCTCTCCAGCCCCCAAAGCTATAACTAGTTATTATCTGGACCTTTCTAGAAAAGTGGGTTGCCAACCCATTTTAGGACATGAGCCTTTCTTTTTTTCTTGTTTCCCCACCCTCCACCAAGACAGTTCTACCAGATAGACACACAGTCGCTCCATCCTATCTCACATGGTTTCCCATTAATGCCATGATGGCTGCTGTTGGCTTTCATTTCCAGTTTCCCTAGCCCAAGATGCAGCCTCTCAAGCTTTCTGTCCATCTGAACCACCTGGTGTGTGTGATAGAGGCCTCAGATAGTGAAGCCAAGTGCCTGGACATTGGTTTGATGAGTGTTGGGGTGAGAACCAAGACTATGTTTCTACCATGCCCCCAGGACTATCCTTAGTGAATATGTGACTACCACTTCTGGAAACTTGTCAGAATACCAGAAATTACCAAGAAATACCTTCCTAATACCTCAAAGAACCAGCAAAACAAACTAAGCCAGCAGATCCCAGGGGATGAGACGGCCCGGGGCTGCCAGCTGCCAGTCTTTAAGACTGTGTCCACACAAAAGACTAGGCTAGGCCCCTTCCACCATTGCAGCTTTTCCCAAACAATGACAACCCTACCCACACATGTGTAACACCTTGTGCGTTGTATTAGCACTCCAAAGTACTAAACATACTCTGCAACATCCAAGGTGCTCACTGGCCACCCAGTCCAGCCAAAACAAAGCTTCGACTTCTATAAGAGATCCAATTTAAAAAGAAAATAAGGGGGAGAGCAATCTGGGAGGACACCTAGCATCAACCTCTGCCTTCTGCATACACACACACCGAGTGTACCCACAAAGAAACACATTCTCCTGGAAAATGGGTTTGTAAGAAGAAAGTGAATATGGGTTGAGGTCACTACAGATCTTAGAAATTTGGAACTCTACCAAAACTCTTTCTATAGGAAATATCTATTGTAAATGATGCTACAGGACAAAACATAGCAAAGCCTAGCCCTAAATTGTTAGTGTTGGGGTTCATGGTTCCCTCCTCCAAACTCCTCAGCTATACTTGGACTTCAGTATCCCTAGCCTGCCCTCACCTACCTTCTAATCTACACTCATCTTCCATGTCAGCTAAAATCAGAGTCAGGATCAGACAAGCTGCTGCTGCAGGACAGCCCTCCTCCATGAGTTTCAGGGCCAATCGGTCTTGAGCAGATGAAGTGGAAAAGGGGGTTGCTGTGGGAAGCCAGGAAGGAAAGCCAGTCAGGAATAGGCTCAGAAGTTCTCTGAGTGTAGAGTTCTCCTGGTCTACCCTTTGAGTTGGTTCCATAAGTCACTTTATAGATGAGAAATCAGAGGCTCAAAGGAGTGGATCGGTCCTACCAGACCACACAAGTAGGGTGCATTTGTCACGGAAGGTACTGGCTATGTCAACCTGTAGTTGTGCCTTCCATGCCCCACCACAGCCACAGGTGTGACCCAAGACATAGATAAAGCATAAAAGACTATGAGATAGCTGTTGCTTTTCTTCTGTGAATGGGCTGCCCATTTCTCAAGCCCCAACCTTATAGATAACATTGTATTACAATGTTAGGTTGGAGTCAGCTGACCATAAACCCCATTGCCTTTTAAGTTCTAGGGGTCTGTGGCCCAATGTCCCTCCACTTCTCCAGAGCTTGCATTGCCCCAGCAGGCTTACCTGCTCTTCTCCTTTCACTCATCTCTGTGCAGTCTAAAGTCTTCATGCCTGCTGGAAGTGCCCTGGTCATCTCAGGGACAGTCTGCTCCAGTCCCCTCCCCTCTCTCTTTTAAGCATTCAAGGGTAATATGATCCATTTTTTCCCTTCTAGAAGACTCTTTCCAGTAGCTTCCCATTACCTGAAATGACCTTGGCATCATTACAGCGAACTGGCTCCGTGGAGTGTCAGGCTGAAGCAAATCCAAAGAGTAGTACCATCACCTGAAGAGTTCACAAGTCATGAGGACCACTGCTCTTTGGAGGAGGCTAGAGCTGGGGACTGGGCACACAGGCAAGATACCAGGTGGATTGAGTGCTTGCCAACTATTGGGAGTCACCAGAGCAAGAGAGGCCTATTTAAAGCACGAATGAGCCCATGGTTCCTCCCCATTTCTGAGGAAGCCATATGAGGGCAGGCTAAAGTGGAGTTAACCAGGACAGGAGGACTACTGCACAAGAAAGCCTGTGAGGAATGTCTGGGACTCTCAGGTACCATCTCCCAGGGCCTAGGCCCTCCTGCTTGAGTGGCTTTGAGGAGCCTCCCCTTTCTCCTTATTAAAGTCAGAGATCAGGAGATCCACCTCCCAGATGATGTGCAGGCTGAATAAGAGACGCATGTGTGCTGACACAGCAGGGCAGACGAGGATGTTTGAAGGCTTTGCAGCTATGCCCGACCTAGCTGTGACAGCCCAGGAACAGATGTGGACTCAAAGTAGCCCATCCTCCCAGACCAGTCCCTGTTTCTCAAACTAAAACTAAAATGAGCCGGGTGTGGGGGCACACAACTAAATCCCAGCACTTGGGAAACAGAGGCAGTTGGGTGCCCTCGAGTTCAAGTGCAGCCTGGTTTACATAGTGAGACCCTGTCTCAAAAACACAGAAGTCAGTTACAGAGAGGGGGGTCCAGGACTCTAGACTGCTAAAGCCCACCCTTCCTCTCACCACACAACAGCTTTCCTGCCTCGTACCGCCTTCCATTTTATAAAGTAGCATTACTTTTTTCTAAACAATGAACAATCCTGATTCATTTCTGTGTGCTGTTTTTTGCAGCCACCCTCTCTAGAATATAAACTGCACAAGGAGGGATGTCTTCGATTGTTTCATTCATTGCTTTTGGCCTGAAGAAGAGTGGCCTGGATGGTGTGGTGTGGTTGGCCGTGTGTGTGTGTGTGTGTGTGTGTGTGTGTGTGTGTGTGTGTGTGTGTGTGCAGGGAACTTCGTCTCTGTTTTTTCTCCACCAGCTGCTCCCCAGTATGGTATGCTGCTTGTCACTGGCCCACTATTAACAGGGCCTGCCACCATGGACTGAAACCTTCAAAATTATGCATTGAAAATAAACCTTTTTCCTTCTTTTTCCAAAGCCGATAGTCTCAAGATTCATTACGGTAATGGAAGCTAGTGCCTTGTAAGTAAATGGCTGAATGAGTTGGTGGGTGGGTGGGTAGGTGGATGAATGGATGCCCTATGGCAATAATCTGAGGTCTGGGCTGTAGGCTGCTCTGCTCTTTGGTTCCAAGGCACAAGGGGATCTTGGTTATGTCTGTCTAACACTCAATTTATATTATATGTGATAATATATTGATATTATATTGATTAATGAGTGAAGATGACAACTTTAAAGTTAAATGATTGGATGCCCTTGATGAATTTCCACAGCAGAAAGAAGAGTTTCCTAGAGAAAAATCTCTTGGGTACAACCTGCCGTAAACAGCTGGCTGGAAGCATCCTATTTTGAGTGCCACCTCGGACCACCCAGATATAACCTGACTTTGCCATCAGGGGGTGCTAAATCCTTATTTTCTTGCTGCACTTGGACCTTAAGGCAGTCACTGTATAGGCCTAGAAAGGCCACAGGAGGAATAAAGGAAAGGCCAGGTGAAGTCCATAGCCACCACCCTTCAGTCCCCAAGGCATGGTAGGTGACTTCAGAAGGAATTAGAGGTGCTTAGGCTTAATGCCAGGTGCCAGGCACTGGCAGACCATGCCAGCTACTGACTCCCTAAACACCCTGGTGGCTTAGAATCTGCATTTTGAGAATGGGAGTTGGGATAGAGTGAGTGTCCTGGCTAGTGTCTT